TTGCTCCACTATATATAATATGTACGATATTCAGCATTATATGTATGGGTTCGGCATATAGTCCATCTTCCTTGACATCATCATAGCTAGAGTACTAACAAAATTAACTTTACAGTGGTTCTCAGTCCCATTTGCTCCCAGTTTTGTCCTAACTCACTCAAATTGCTAGAGGCTTTGGTGTTGGGAAGTCTTTCTGCCTTCAGAGAAGGGCTCTTCTCTTCATACAAGGCTCTCCATGTTACCTGCTCCTCACTGTCTAGCTGGATTTCTTAGCTCACCTGCTTGCTCCTAGACCACTCAGCTCTTGCCTAGTTTGGAATAGGAGCCCTCCTCCCAAGCAACATCTCTGTCAGAATTCTTTTTTTCTTTATTCCTCATCGTCTCTTCTTCTACTCAGAAATGGTTAGAAACAAGAATGAATTCTTAGCCAGAGTTGGAAAGTAAGGAGAATGAGGGGAAGCCCAGGTAACAAGTTGAGTTCCCTTGTCTACCAGGACATGGGAGAGTTTGAGTTTTCGTAGGTTCACTTTGTCCTTTTCTCCCTTAGGCAGATCTGCCCAGTGACAGTTTATGTCACACTATTTGCTTCTGATCTAGCTCCTGGGCCTGCCCAGAACACGGCCTGCATTGCAGCCTGGCTCCTGTATCCTCCACTGCTGGCTCTGCTGTAATCCTGGCTGCTAAAACTGCATGCATTTTCTGAGGATGCATTAGGGGAAAAGTTTGCTTCTTCTTTAAAATTTCCTAGATTAAACCCGTGGACCAATCTTAAGAAGGCTAAGCTCTGGAGCCGTGTGTAGGAGGAACGCGCACACATCTCGTTACCCTTAACAGCGTTCATTCATCACTCCTACTCTGTTCTTCCAATTTCTCTCCCAAGACAGCAACAATTTTCAGACACTTAAAATACTTACATTTTATACTATGCTTACTACAATTGACTAAACGTATAATCAACTGTCAGTAGAAATAGCTATATGTAGATAAATTTAATGTTAACCCTGAATTTTCATAAGTCATATACATACCATAACAAAAGAATATATATCAGCAAATGTCCATAGTATAATAGTTACAGAATTGAAGAATTATGCTCTTATTTGCACTTCCATATTCCAAACTCTTTGCTTAATGTTGATTTCAATTCCACAGTAAAAGAAGGTAGCTTTTTGCCTCTTCCAAGTATACTAAAACCAAACCAAACCCATCGCCATCGAGTTGAATCCGACTCACAGTGACCTATAGGGGTTCCAAGGAGCAGCTGGAGGATTTCAACTGCTGACTGTTTGGTTAGCAGCCGAATGTTTAACCACTGCACAACCAGGGCACCCCCAGTATACTAGAATTTCATTTTTATGCCACTGTCTGTATCCATGTCTCAAAGGGGAAACAGATTTACTATAAAGTCATTTTGGTATTTTAGAAACTAAACTGCCTTGGATACTGTCCAAGAAAGACTATATCAACTTCCGCTCTTGCAGCAAAAAGTGATCATATATAGAGCACAAGTGCAGCAACTCGGAACCTTCGTGGACTGAGTTTTGGAAAGGCACAGTTTCCAGGTTGAGAGAACCATCAAAATAGTTTACTTCCTAAATTGTCCTAAAACTTTCATGCCTCCTTCAACAAAGTATAACAAATACTCTTTAACCTTTTCTTAATGACATAGAACATTGAGAAAGAAAAACAGACTTAAAATTAGAAGACCTGGGTTTGACTAATTGGGTCAAAAAGTACTAGGAGAAGGATCTTAGTAAATTCACTGCACCTCCTTGGGGCTGTTATCTGTACAGTGGGACCACAACATTCCTCAGAGTTATTTTGAAGATTAGGTTAAATAGCACAAATAAAATGCCTAGCACAGAGCCTTGACTCTTCTAGGTGTTCCATGAAATGTCAGCCCCTCTCCTGCCCCCTCAGGGCACAATTTGAATGAATAGGTTAATGCTACATGCCACAGGCTTGCTGCCCAACTGTGGATGCACATGCCAAGAATGGATTCCCAGGCAAAATAAATTCAACTACAGGTTCAGGTCACTGGGTGGTGTAAACGATTTGTATTCAACTATTAACCTAAGGTTGGCGGTTCAAACCCATCCAGTGGTGCCGTGGAAGAAAGGCCTGGTGATCTGCTCTGTAAAGATTACGGCCAAGTAAACCCTATAGAGCAGTTCTACTTTGTAATACATGGTGTCTCTGTGAATCAGAATGGACTCAATAGCAATGAGTTTTTTGGACAGACCTATACACATACATAACATAAAGACCTCTTTAAAGTGTTGAAAAGCAAAGAGGTCACCTTGAAGACTAAGGTGCACTTGACCCAAGCCATCATATGCATGTGAAAGCTGGACAATGAATAAGGAAAACAGAAGAACTGATGTCTTTGAACTGTGGTGTTGGCAAAGAATATTGAATATATTATGGACTGCCAAAAGAATGAACAAATCTGTCTTGGAAGAAGTACAACCAGAAAGATCCTTAGAGGAAAGGATGGTGAGACTACGTCTTATATACTTTGGACATGTTGTCAGGAGGGATCAGTCCCTGGAGAAGGACATTATGCTTGGTAAAGTACAGGGTCAGTGAGAAAGAGGAAGACCCTCAACGAGATGGATTGACACAGGGCTGCAACAACGGGCTCAAGCGTAACAACGATTGTGAGCATGGCAGTGTTTTGTTCTGTAGTACACAGGGTCGCTATGAGTCGGAACCGACTCGACGGCACCTAACAACAACATAATGTAGAAGCCCTGGTGGCACAGTGGTTAATTTCATATATATATTATTATAAGCTCATTTGGCTTTCTTTTTCTCATGAAGTAGAAATTGAGCATGTGAAACAAATGACTCCTAGGCAACATGATATGACTGTCCTTCTGCAAACTTCTTCCTCTTCCCAAGTAGCTTTCTTTCCCTTCAAAAAATCAGCACCCCTTCTCTATCTTCAATTCACATTTCATAGATCCTTTGTGCCACAGGTATCTCATAGATAGTGGCATATATATATATACACACATATATATATACTTATATATGTACACACACACATATACTTATATATATGCTACTATATAGGAAGAGAGAGTCCCTAGGTGGTGCAAATGGTTAAACATTTGGCTGCTAACAGAAAGGCTGGCAGCTCAGGTCCACCCAGAAGCACCTCAGAAGAAAGGCCTGGAGATCTACTTTCCAACAAAAACTAGTAGAGCATAGTTCTACTCTGACACACTTGGGGTCACCATGAGTTGTAACCATGACTCAATGACAAATGGTTTGGCTTGGTGTGTGCATATATACGTGTGTGTGTGTGTGTGTGTGTGTATATATACACACATACATACATATGTATATCTATAAGAACATATATATATATATATATACATATATATATATACACATATAGCCACTCCGAAGGAATCCAAGAATAAACCTCCCTAAAGCAATCAATCCAAATAGAGAAACCACTTATACGTGTTTTATCTAGACACTCACAGTAATTTATAGTCTTCATTTTACTAATGATGTAAACATAATGTACACCCTATAGCCTCTAAGCTTAAATTATTTAGTTGTTAATGCAGCTGAGCACAGAACCTACTTACTTGGGTAGCTCTATCTAAAAACCAATATTTACTATTTTATCCCCACTGTACACCAGTGAAGCATGAGTTATGGGTTAGCAATCTCACTTCAGAGATAGGCAAATGCAGCTATGACTGTAATTCGGGTGTGAAGAGAGAAATATACACACGACACAACTTGGAGCTGGTATCTTTTTACATCTTTAATAAAAAAGTATACAATATATTATTTACTCACTTGCTAGGAATATATTTTGACAACTCTGTGACCAATAATTCTCTGGATTAATTTCATTAGGCATGAAATTTGGCTGGTCTGACCGTGAGTTGGTAAACTATCATCTTTCTTTTTCCCTTTGTAACTCCTACTAGATGGATGATTTTTCCCCCTTTCTATCTGTTACTCTCATTCTAGTTGGCAGAGCTGCCTCAATGACTCTATGACATATATCTCCAACTCTACTAAATCCAGAAGAATGGATAATAAGACTTTAATAAGCTTTTAAAGAAAATTTAGTAGAAAGGTGGACTCCTACCCATTCTTTAAGACCCACATGCCACCTTCTCTGTGAAGTCCTGCCCTCACTGCCCCAGTTGCCCATGCCCTCCTTTCTGTCCCCCTGTGTCTTGCATTCTGCTTCTATCTCCCATCATGGTGAGGACAAGTAATTATGTATACACTTCTCTCCCCGACTAGGATGTGAGCATGCCAAGAGCAGAGGCCTCGTTTTGTGCCTCACTATAGCATAGAAGACACTAAACCCAAGTTGCATGAAATGTAATTAAAAAACAAAACTTTATAAACAAGGATAAACATCCATTCTGTATCTGGGTTGATTCTGTTGAGGAGTTCTTGAAAGCAAATGGATGTTCTCTGAAAATCCCTCTATGTCCTACAACAATTTTAGTGATGGACAAATGTAAGATTTCAAACTATCACTTTCTGCATGAGACCCTGACTCTGAAACATGTGTGGAGGACGCAGTGTCAAGATGCCGGGCATGGCTTTTTGGGGCTTTAAGGCCATGACTGAGTCACCGAACTTAGGTGATAACAATCAGAATTAAAGTCATCTTGAAAACCCTTTCCTTTCTGGTTGTTCTTTAGGATATTTTCAACTGTAACAAGAAGGCACTCAGCCACGATTAAAATACTATGTTCACTGGGTCATGTTAAAAATCAACTGCACAATTTTTCTGTAAACCTAAAACTGCTCTAAAAATAAAATTTATTTTAAAAAAAATCAAATTTCTTTACTTACCTTCCTATTACTTAAGTTACAGTGAGGTGGATGTGGAACTTTTTTTAATATTACAATAAACAACAAGATAACTAACTCTTTTACCTCAAGGATAAATTCTTCCGTTTAGGTTCAATTAAAATGCTACATCTCTCGTTTCGTATTTGGTACCATACCTGTCCTGTGTATGCAAACTCCAGAGCCTGCTTTAAACCAAGGCTGGTCACACCGTGTAAATTCACTTCATCGGCTCCACTTTCCACCATACAAAGACTGAACATTGCCTGAGATAGGGAAAGAAATGAAGAGAGAGAGCTTATAGGATTCAAAAAGCAAGAGAGTAAGACAAATTCCTGGAGAGACTAGGAAAGAAAAGTTCTGAAGTTAAAGATTGATTTTGATTTCTGAAATGCTTCTAGTAAGCCTCATTCACACAAACCCAAAAAACCAAGCCCGTTGTCGTCGAGTCGATTCCAACGCATTCACACAAGCTACTGTGTATCACTTTGCTGTCTACACAGCTACAGCAGCAAACACATGGCAGGGCATACCTCAGACACAAAGTCTCATCTCATTTAACCTTCACAACTGTTTCTGAGGTGACTGTGTTTCAGCCCACTGAACTCATTACCTGGATCCTGGGGTTTCACTGCTACCATGGATGTGTGGCAATCCCAAACATTTTTGCCAACAGGACATAGAAATTAGCACATTTTCCTTCTCACTTTTTTCTGCCTCATCCTACTGATACATCCCATTCCTCTCATCTGACAATTACGTATCATGTACTCTACTGGAGTGGTTCTCAAAGTGTGGTCCCTGGACCAGCAGCATCAGCATCACCTGGGAACTTGCTGGGTATAGATTCTTGGAGCACCAGCCTAGACATACTGAATCAGAAACTCTGAGAGTGGGTCCCAGCAATCTGTGTCTTAACAGATCCTCCAGGTGACTCTGATGTTCTCTCAGGTTTGAAAACCACTGCTCTAGTTTACTCCGTGGAAATCACTTTACCCACAAACAAATTCTCCAAATGGCCAACTTACTGAAAATCAGCTCTTCCCTGAATACTCAATAGGTGAAATGAAACATTTGCCAAATTAAACAAATGCATGGATTTACAAACACACACTAATTTTAACAGTTTAAACAATTTTGACTTTACAGATATAAAAAGAATATTCAATTTTGGTTACTGATGATGAAATCCACTAGAAAAGTATACTTCACAGAAGTAAAAAAAAACAAAAAAATACCACTCACTTTCTTGCAGTAACACTTCAGTTCCCACTAAACATTTGAATTTTTTAAATGTGATTTTTTTTTTGTTTTGCCAATATATTAATCTTCTTCTAGCAATTTTTACAATTCTATGCATTTGAATTAATATGTATAGAATGGGAGGTATTAACCACATGGCCATTATTCTTTCTGGAGATCCTCATTTCCATCTCTCTGAATTAGAATAGTTTTAAGTTTTCACAATGAATTGGATTTTCTTTGACAGTTTATAGTTAAAATTTTAACTGTTTGAGGATACAAGGAAAAGATTAGTCCGAAGGACTAATGGTCCACAGCTACCAAGGCCTCCACCGGACTGAGTCCAGTACAGCTAGATGGTGCCCAGCTACCACCACTGACTGCTCTGACCAGGATCACAACAGAGG